TTTTCTCATATTTAAATTTAATTAAATGAATTAATAATAATAAAAATTCAAATAATTAATCAAAAATAAGAAAATACATCCCTTTGAGGTCAATGGGTCGTGCATAGCCTTTGGGTAATGATTCATGGAAGAATTTGTGGCCCATTAGCAATTTTGAAGCTTTTGAAGCAAAGTTGACTTTTCAAAATTCCCAAAACTTTCCCAACTTCTACAAGGCATATCTTGCTCAATTTTGAAGCTATGATCATGTTCTTGGACATTTTGGAAAGATCTTGAAGTCCTCTAACCAATTTCTTTGGTCCCGTTTCATTTTGATTTACCAATCTCAAGTTATGGTCTTTGACTTAAAGTGCCTTTTTGTTGACTTTTGAAAATGACCTATAATGTTGAAATTGATAACTTTTTGTGAGAGCATTTCTTGGACTTTAAGTGTTAAGATGAGTTGTAGGAAATGTCATTCTCTTCAAAATGAGCTTTGGATGGGATTTTTCTGATAAACCATGAAGAAGTTACGCCTTGGTCAATTTGCAGTTGACTTTTCAACTATCCAAAAATAGAAACTTTTGCATCTTGAGACTTTTTGAGCCATGCTTTGAGAATCATGATCAAGAATTGATCAAATGATGTTTGTGGCTTCAAAATAAGATGTTGACCAAAAATTTTGAATTTTGACTGTCAAATGACCATTTTGCCCCTGCAGTTGACTGTGAAGCAAGTAGGGTTTTTTACTGTGCAATTTGATGCTGTGAGTCTTGAAACTTGGCATATGGATGCTTGTCAATATGCAGGCATGTGGGACTTGATTGGACCCTTGGAAACTTCAATTTCTTTGCCAGAACCAAAACCCTAATTTTGACTGTGTTAGGAGGCAATTGGACTGTGCAACCCTTGAGGGATTTTGAATCATCTGGAGACTAATCTTGACAAATTTTGAAGAATATGGGAGGGCAAATTTTGGGGTACAACACCAGGACCTAAGGGTGACAGGCGCGTACTTTAACCACTGGGGTGATGATACATCCGTTAACTTATGTCAAACCATAAATATATATTAGAAAATGCTTCCTGAAGACAAACTTCATCTTCAACCTCGCGCCTGGCCAGACCACCTGCATCTTGCTCATTTCTCATCCATTTGCAAAAGTGTAACATGAATCTTGTGGAAAATTTCCTCACGATTTCAGAAATGTAAAACACTAAAACTATAGATCAAAGACAAATGTGATACGGTGGGAGAACCGACTGTTTAATATTGGTTTGCATTTTGCGTTTTTTGTTTGCAAAATGTAGCGGTAAGCAAGAGTCGCCACCGACTTTTATTTCATCCAATCATGGAAAAGGAAAAAGAAAAGAAAAAAACCTTTTTTCGAGATATTCTGAGTACGGGGTTAAATTATAGAAAGGGAAGGTGTTAGCACCCTTTCTATCTGTAGTTATCTACGGGCTCTTAGGTACTTGCTCATTTTGTCAAATTGCTTGTGTATGTTTGTCTTGAAAATGTTTTACTTTGTGATAACCCTTGTGTCACTCCTCAAGGGTGTGACAAAGTTGTTTTGAAAATTTGTTTGGAAAATTATTTGTGTGAAAAGTTTTATTTTGAGCAAGTACCTACTAGCATCTACCTACTTGAAAAAGATCGTTTTTATTCTATTTCCTTTAGACAGTGCTATCCCATTATTAAGGAGTAGGTAGCATCATTGTTGGAGTTATAAGGTACATTCGAAAGGGATGTACGATCACAAAAGCAATGTTAGGACACCTTAGTAACCATCCTAGAGTCCTAAAGATCTTTTCCGAGGCAACAGTCGAAAGGGTCATTTTTTGATCTTTTGGGACATAGAGGATAGCCACTAAAACATCATATGCTTCATGACTGTTTACCGAAGGCAAATGGAGTGAGAGTATACCCTAAGAGTGAGCATGTGTGAGTGATTTGTTTCACTTATTTTAATCTTTGCACATTAGGGTTTTCTAACTGTTTTAATTTTTCATGCATTCTTGTCATACAATCCTATTAGCCATACATCTAGACAGTTAAATATTGCGGGAATTTAAAGTGCGAGGAAGTAAAACCTAGCTATTACAAGGCTTCGGGGAGGGGGATTAATTACATAACCAAAAAATCGGGGATTTAAAGCAAAAAATAAAATCCTAATTTAAGTATTACAAACCCTGAACAATTACAAAAATAATGGAGAAAAATAGTTAATAAGCGCGCGACAAATTAAATACGAGGACGGTAATTAATAACTTAAAATCCTGATTGAGAGGAAGAAATTTTTGTGGATTTTTATTTGAGAAAACAATTAAATCATAAATTAATTAAACCTAATTTCTAATTGTTTTTAATTATGAAAGAAATTAAAGTTGCCCTAAATTAATTAAACTAATTAATTAAAAATAATATTTATTAAGAAAATAAGTCTTTTTGTGATTTTTTTATTAATTTAATTTAATAAAATAATTTTTGTATTGATTAAAAAACAAAATAATTAAAGAAAAGAAATTAAAGAAAAAAGTAGAAATAACCAAATGGGCCTGCTGCTAGCAAATCTAGGGGGTGTATGCTGAACTTTTGAACCCCAGCAGGATGGCTCAGAGTCAGGCGCCTGATCCCATGAGACCATCTTCTGGGGGGCTCATGGTGGACCTGTATATGCTGGCATTGGATCTGGTGAATTCAGAGGATGAGATCAGAGGGTGTGTGATGATCCTCAGAAGGTGAGGTGTGCTGGATCTGACTGAAGATGGGTCCAGAGGATGATGATCCTCAGAAGGAGAGGTATGCTAGATCTGGCTGGAGATGGATCCATAGGATGATGATCCTCAGAAGGAGGTGTGTTGGATCTGATTGAAGACGGGTCTAGAGGATGATGATCCTCAGAAGGAGAGGTGTGTTGGATCCTGCAAGGAAATAATGGAGAAAAGGCCAAAAGCTCACACCTGGGATCGAACCCAGGACATGAGCTTCATACTTCCTTCCTCTGACCAACTGCGCTGGAATTATTAGTTGTAAACATAATATAAAGATAAAACAAAAAGTATACAACAATGATTATGCCAAAAACGCGCCAGAATTCAAACCAGCCAGTCAGGTTGTGACACACTATTGTCTTCTTCCCTGGACCGTCGTCTTAGGCTCTGGTACTTTCACCTACAGACAAAGGTCTGTAGCTACAAACCTGTTTCATTCAAAAATCATGTACACGCATGATAAATGGCATCTAATTATATAGATCAACTCGTCTTGATCTTGTGAACACCATGGTACCCCTTTTGCTGGCCAATTTAACCTATGGACAAAACCCCTAAACTGCACCTATAAACCCTAACAATGGTAAAGGCATGTACAGGCTCCAAAAACACAATTAAATCATCCAGTTAGCTTACAAACACAATGAGGATCACAAATATGTAACTTAAACATGCTAAAGATGCAAGAGTTACAGTAATCGAATTTGAATAATTTTGCAAACCGTGAGAGTGATAGGGAGAGATTTTAAACGTGTAGAGGCGTGCAATCGATTGGGTTAGCTTCTGGGAAGATCCAGGAATCGTTTGCCAATGCTAGAAGGGCTTGAATTGGCCTCCAAGCTTGAAATCGAGTCACACTTTTTCCTTGAATTTTCTGAACTTGTTTTTCCTCTTTCACGATTGCTAACCCCCTTTTTTGCTTTGTTCTTGTCCAATATATACCTAGGGATGAATTAGGGTTACAAACTTGGATTAAATCTTGAAATTTGATGAGATTTGATTTGATTCTTTAACCACATGCAAACGTGCTACTTTGAGCCAAATCTTCCCTTTCTTCTACCAATTATGCTTGATTCGTTTTGGCCTTGATAATTCAGCATATTATGATTGCTAACATGTCCAAAAACCAAATTAAATCATATCTTTGCTATTATTCATCAATTATTTGATTTAATTCATTTTTTAATTAACAAAAAATCAAAGTAAATTGAAAAATGAAGCAAATAATGTGTGGGTGAATTTTTGAGTCGTGGGCCGCATTATAAGTGAGGTGCAAGCATAAAAAGTTAGGCCCATTCACTACAAGAAAAATGATAGATTGGGACGGTTATTTTGGCTGATTACGACGGTTAAAACCGTCGCAATTTACAATCTACGACGGTAGAAGTACCGTCGCAGAATCGTGCGTCCCCAGCCTATTTCGCGACGGTTGCAAAAACTGTCACGCACAACAGATGGCGACGGTTATATACCGTCGTGAATTTGACTTTATTTTTTGTTTTTGTTGTTGTTTGCGACGGTTATATACCGTCGTGAATTTGACTTTTTTTTTTGTTTTTGTTGTTGTTTGCGACGGTTATATACCGTCGTGAATTTGACTTTTTTTTTTGTTTTTGTTGTTGTTTGCGACGGTTATATACCGTCGTGAATTTGACTTTATTTTTTGTTGTTGTTGTTTGCGACGGTTATATACCGTCGTGAATTTGACTTTAACCGTCGTAATCTGATTTATAAATTTCAAATAATATTTTTATTTAAATTATTATTTAGTAAAATAATTTTAAATATAATATTATTTTACTATAATATTTTACTGAAAGTGTTTTTCCCCTTCTAAAATTGAAATCAAACATACACTTCATATTGTACACTTTAAATTTTAAAATTGAAAGAAAAGATAAAATTATAGAATTTTTTTTTTATATAATCCTCTTTTAATTTCTTCCATTTATATAAAAGGCACATTTGCAAACTCTCAAATACATTGCTAATACTAGGACCTCTCTAAATATTAATAATATTATAAAAATGTATCTTTCTAAATATTTACACACTATACAAATAACTAAAAAAAAATTTGAGTGCCTCTAAAATGGGGACTCAGGGCTGCAAGTCCATTTCGGTCAACAGAGCATCTAATAGTGTAAATAGAGTGCACTACATATCCAACAAAAAGCCAATATCTCTTTAATGGAGAGTATTGATCTACTGAAGATGGAAATTTTATAATTCTTGCAGAATTGTCCTTACTGATCCTCATGTGTTGTATTGACTTCATTATTGATTTGTTCAGCTCCAGCACTATTATTGGAAGCGTTGGAGTTGTCTTCATTCTGTGCAAAATCGTCAAGAGTAGCATCATCAATAACCAGAAACCAAAAAGGTTAACACCAATATTAGTTCAATTCTTTGGACAAATGTTGGGAATATCATTATACATAGGTTGGTTACTGAGAATCTGAAATAAAGCAGATAAAGCTTAACCTGTTTAGTGAGACCGTGGACGGACATTACTTCGTAAAGCTTGCGCATAATCATCTCTTCTTCCACCTAACAACCAGAACTCCAAAATTTAGGGATTCAAGTTTTTGTAGATGTCATGTGATTTACTTGTTCAAAATAATAATCACCAAAGAAAATTTTGACTCTAATTTCTTGAAAATATTGATATGCCACAAATAAAATAAAACAAAACTATCCTGTAAACATTGTAGCCAGCAACAAAAAAGAGGGAACAAATAACAAGTTCAAGAGTGTGAGCCAGCTTAGAGTTGGAGCTAAAAAAACAACCAATTTTTTTAGGTTCTCCACTAAGCATACTATGAGTAAACATATCAGTAACATGGCAACTGAAAGATAGCAAATAAAATCATAATCATATGTTAAAATGCGCCGTAAACATATCATACAAAAGATATATCAGACAACTATATGTTGAATCAAAATGAGAAACTCATTTGCTGCAAGCGGCTGTAATGAAATGGTCTAGATTCATGGAATAATAAAATTCACCACGAGCTTAGAATTATATTGCAAAGATAAAGGAATCGCCTATATTGTGAGATATAAGCATCTCAATCTTGACCATAAGAAAAATCAGACTGAGCTGATAAATCACAATGTGCAGGAGTAAAGTGTTTCAAAAGATTTATATCAAATGAGCCAAAATCATGAGATGTTGAATTTTCAATCATGAAATAATATCACATTCTAAAAATATCATTTTTCTCTCTTGAAAGTGTCAGCCCCATTTTCTTGAGGCCATAGTTAGCAGTTTCCTAAATTGATAGGAGAATAAAGAGAGTAAAGCAAAATATACAAAGCCGGTGATTTAATGCTACAAATCCAAATACTTAAGAAAGGGACTGTGTATAAATATAACAACCTGAAGTTTTTGCAATTCATGCAACATTGATCTGTATGTTTCCATAAGGACCTCATTCTGCTTATCCATATGCCTGTTCACCAAAAACATAGAATAGAAGGCAACCTATAAAATAGCTCACGGCAGATAAATCATTATGAAAAACACACAAAAAAAAAAATAATAGGTCTACTTCAACAATTCTCCCGAGTATCTTGGGTCAAAATTTCCAGGCTCCATCGTTATATAATAATAGAAGACCAAAACCTGAAAATTAGCACACGTGTTAATTTGTAAATCCAAAAGGACTTTGGCTTAACCTAATATCATGCTGAAACTGTATATAATCAATGTGATAACCAAGTTAACTAAAGAAGAATTCTGAACAAAAGAAAAGGAAGAGCAGTACCCATGTAGCTTCCAGCACAGCGAGAAAAAGAACACAAAGCATTCATAATAATAAACAGAGAAATTTACCGTGGTGGATGAAGCAGAAAATGAGAGAGAGGTTTTGGGAATAAGGAGAGTAGAGTGACTCTGCTTCCGACGGCAAGTAAGAAGGAGCATAATATTTAGTGAAGTTTTTTGATAAAGAGCATAATCAATCGGTTTCCTGTTTCTGTAGTACTCAAATGCTACTGTAATTTGATTTACTGATTATGTTTACCCTTTTAGCTTCTTCCAGAACTGATTCATGACTCACGTCCAAAAAGTGGATATCTGGTGAATCTAGAACCAAGTGATTTGCATATGGTTTTCCATCCTCTATAATTTTCCCCGACACATTAATAACACAAAACTCTTGTTGTCCAAAAGAGCGTGTCTCGAAAAATTCCCTCTTTAACGGCAAAACAAAGTCAACAGAATAGAAGACCAGGACTCTGGACCCTCTAGAACCAGGATTCGGACAAAGGCATCAACCAGCAGCAGTGATCGAGTTCTACAATTATCAGTATGTTTGTTTACTTGGGTCTGTAAGCAGCAACTTTGACACAAGGTATCCTGCAATTGACCATGTCTGAAACAGTATAGAAAACTACAATCAAGTCCCTGTATAGGTATATTGCTAAAGATTTATAAATATACCATTTCTCAGTTATTTTCATGCAGAAAAACTATGCTTGTAATACATGATTAGAGTTTAAAATTTCCAACAGTCAACATATATGGCCATAGAAAATTTAACAATTACCATGCACATAGGTTTTCAAGACATGACCATAAATATACTGATTTCGATAAAAAAAACTGGTTAGGGAATGGTCATATTTGAAAATTCATCTTCTATGACAGGGAATAAGTAACATTAATTATAAACCAAATTGTCACCAACCTTGGTCGAGAATCATCTTTACAACCGTCTTTGAATCCGTTGAGATCGGTTGTCTAACACTCTTCTTCCCATCCGTTCATGGTGTCGAGATGCAATTCTTGCTTCGCTGGGGTTTGCGTTTGAGCGTAGATAAAAGGAATGAAATGTCTGCTTAGATGAAAAGGGATGAAGCCCCGGGAATCGCCTGCTGAAACTCCTTCTCTGCCATTTAATTGCGTCTTGAAGCTCCTAAGGTTTCTACTGTTGATTAGATTTTGGAAGAACGAGGATTGATGAAAACCAAAGGCAGATTTGGAAGCGTGGCATCAAGACAAAGAGGACAAAGGGATAATTTCGAAGAATGGAAGCTTCACCATTCTAGGCGCAACATCGTACTTCCGGCGGTGGTTCTTTGCTTCAATCGGATAAAAAGCTCTTTCACAAAACCTAATCCTCTTTCAATTTTGTTTGTTACTCCTATTTTGTTTTTTTATATTTTTATTTGTTGTATTTTGTTTATAATTTAATAATAAATATTAGTTGCTGAAAATATTATGATATTGTGTTGATATTATGATATAAAAAAGTGGGAAAGTAAAAGAATAAAAAAAAGTAGCGATATTGTGTTGATAATCTAAGATCTTTTTTAGTACTAGACATTGGATAATATATTTTAGGGTTCATAATTTGTAAATTTAAATTTTAATTTCATGTTATATTTGAATGTGTTAATGATGGATATAAAATCAAATTTATATAAATCTCAAAAAAAAATTGTTTTACCGCGACGGGTGTTTTACCGTCGTGCCCATGAGAATTTTTAAAGGTTTTGGGTGCGACGGTTGTTTTACCGTCGTGAAATGAATTTTAGGACGGATAATTTTACCGTCGTGAAAGGTTTAAGGGTGCGACGGGTGCTTTACCGTCGTGATATGCCTTTTAGGACGGTTAATTTTACCGTCGTGACTAGTTGTTGGTGAAAAATCAATGTTAAAAGTGTTAAATGGGGGCCGACGGTTGTTTTACCGTCGTAATAATAATATTATGATGGTTAAATATACCGTCGCAAAATAAATATTAGGGACGGTTGGTGTCAACTGTCGTAAACACTGTCGCTATATGTCAATTACGACAGTTATCACATAACTGTCGCAATTTTTGTGTCGTTAAACACTAATTTTCTTGTAGTGATTTAGCAAAAAATGCATTTGTGAGCACATTTGACTTTTGGCAATTTTGCAAAAAAGGTCAACTTTGACAAGGTATAACTCCTCCAATTTTAACCCTAGAGAGGTGTTCTTGGACTTTTTAGAAAGCTTAGGACGTCCCCTAAGCAACCCTTTTTGTCTCATCTCAATTGAGTCTTCCATGTTCATGTATGAAGCTTTGACCCAAAATGTGTTTTTGTTGACTTTTCAAAAGGACCTACGATGTCAAAATTCATATCTTTTCATGAGTGCATATTTTGAACTTGTGGGATGAATATGAGTTGTAGGGAATTGCATGCTCTTCCAAATATGCTTGGTCAAAGTTGGGTTGACTTTTCCTACAAAACCCTAATTTAGCAGCTTTTGGGTTTTGATGAATTTGGAGCATCCCTTGAGGAATCATGATCAACCCTTGATCAAATGATGTACAACACTTCAAAATGATGATGTTGACCCAAAATCTTGAAGTTTTACTATATGTGGGCCACAGTTGACTTTTGACCTAATATAGTCGATTCTCAAGCATCTGAGCAGTTGGTTGAGCAAACTTCTTGTGCTAGGCATGAAACTTGTCATGGATGATCTTGGGAACATATTAGGACCTTGGAAGGAATTTGGGATCCTTTGGACTCAAGCATCTTGATGAAAATGAAACCCTAATTTGAGGTATACTGCCTTAGGAGAGAGTTGGTCTAGTTAACTCTTGGACTTCCTGGAGCAACTTAGGGAACTCAATTGACATGTATTTAGTAAAATGAGAGGGCAAATTTTGGGGTACAACAACAAACATGAATTTTAATGGCCCTAATCTGAACCCTAACTTTTCCAGAAATTTCAATCTTAAAATTCTCTAAGCTCAAGCAACATGAATGAAAACTATGGACATGGTTAGCTTCAGGGCAATGATACCTACATTTCTTATTCATAAATAAACCAATAATGATGCTTGTATGAAGAGTTCAAAAGTCAGAAAACACACCTTTCAAGAGGGTACCATGTTTTGATTTTGAGCAGCTTTTAGTGAGTTCCAATGATTGGATTAGCTTCCTCAAGTTCCCAGGAAGCTAATGTGATGCTTAGCTTGAGCTGAAAGTGCCTGAGGAGTTCTGGAAAAGTCAAGGTACAAGGTGCTGTTTTTGAAAATGGTGGATGATGATGGAGGTGTTACAGTAGTGTTGCAGGTGTTGGAATTATTTGTGTATGTTATTTAGAATCTTTTGAAAGTAAAAGACCAATAAACGCACGAGCAAATTTGGAGATCGGATTCAAAACTCAGAAATGGCAAGTTTTGAGGTGTTTTTGGTGATTCTGTTCTTTAGAGATTTTCAAGGCTTTAGCATGCGTGTGTTTTCTTGCAAATGACTTATGTATCTATAAGCAAAAGGTTGGAGAGGCTTTTCACAAAGGATTTATGAGTTCTAGAGTTATGGCTAGGTTGCTTGATTTTGAAGAAAAGTGAATGTATGGTTCCAAGATGAAGTACAAGCATGGGCTGAGTGATTATAAGGCTTGAGACAAACTTCTCTTGAGTTATAGGATGTGTATGATCAGAAGAAAACAATTGCAAAACTCAAGAACAAGTTTTGTGCATAAAGCTACTTTTTCAAAATGGCATTGTGCACTTTCTTCCTAAAATGGACATAAAGCATGGGCATTGCATTGAATGCTCGAGTTGAGGCCTCTAACAGATGTGAAAGCATTTAATTATGGAGTTCCTAACAATTTTGAAGCCTGCAAAGCAAAGATTATGCATTATAGGTTTGAGATTTGAATTTTGTTCATCACAAAATTTTCCTTGTAAAACAACTTGAAACCCCAACTTCTGACCTTCGATTCTCCTTGCTCACAAATGATCTCAAGGAGTTCTTGAACATTTTGGAAATCTTGTAATATTCTCTACAACACCTATTTGAATCACTTTTTCAAAATATAAATGTAACTAGGTGAAACTTGGGTCAGAAGTTAGGTCAAAATCCTGACCAAAAATGTTCAAAATTTCACAAGTGTTTAGTTTCATGACCATGACTTCATGGATTAATAACTTGAGATTCAAACATTTTTAGAAGAAGTTGTGTAAAGAAATGTTGTATATCTCATGGATATCTACAACTTTCATGTTGAAAGCTTCTTTTGAATCACCTTGCATCATGGTGAAAAATTGGCTCAAAGTTGTGAAAAAATATGAAGTTTTCAACACTTAGAAAATTTTCTAAGTTTGAAAACTTTGACTTTTCAAAATAAAATCTTGAATTTTTGATTTCTTGATGAAAAAGTTTCATATTTTGACATGTTTTGATGAATTTTGATCTTTGACACTTGATTTTGACCAAAAAGTCAAAGTTTGACTTTTCAGTGTACAGTTGACTTTTGATCAGTTGACTAAAAATCCACTATCAATCTAATTGATTTTGAGCAATATTTTGAGTCACGCAATTAGGTCAAAATGATGCAATTGAACTCTTAAGATCATGCCTCAAACCAATTAACCATTTGCTAGGTCAAAAATCAGAAATTGCCCTTTCTTAGTCAAAACCCTAATTTTGACCATTTTGCCCTTTTGATGGTTTGATCAAATTTCTTGAGGAATTGTGGTCCAAAATTTATCAAATGATACATATGAGTTTATAATTTTGATGTGGATAAAAAATTATTAAGTTTGACTGTAAATTGGCCACAATTGACTTTTCCCCTAATATAGTTGGTTTTTAGGTCAACTGCTTAATTGACTGAGCAAAAATGTTATTCAAGGCTTGAAACTTGACATGAGTAATCTTGGGGGTCCATAATGATCCATGAAAGTCATATGAGGCATTGAAAATTCAATTATCCTTGTGCAATCTCAAATCCTAATTTCAGTCCTCAGTGCTTAAGGAGGTGTCTTGAGCTGATCAATCCTTGTGCAGTCTTGAACCCAAGGAGATCTTGTGAGAA